TTCCCTAACATTGTCTGATACATTTTCTGAAGTATAAGGTGAGAAGAAGAGAGCAAGCGTAATCTTTCAGATGAAATGTCGGTGCATTAGGGTCTGAATTGCTCCCTGTAATAAACTCATGTAGCTATAATTAAACAGTCATTTTCAGAGTAGCCCCCTCCATGAAGTGGCCATTCATACTCATAGAGGCGTATCAATTGTTAGCAGAGACGTTGCTTCAAGAACAAGCTTCAGACATGATGAATTACAAAGCTTAATAACGTCGTGCGGTTGAAAAATGCTGCATGCTGCAGAAGATAACCTCAGTATTGCAAATCCACAGCAGTTTAGAGGCTAGACTGATCCTGCATCATTGATTATTGCATTGAACTGATGGGTTAGGATAACTGGAGGCAACTGGAAATGAAGCATGCTCAGGAAGCACCAACTTCCCCTTGTCCCGTGGGTGTCAGGGTGACTAAGGATGAAGGTTGCTGTATCTTAACTGGTAATAAGTGCTGGCAAAGCTGGAGGAAAGGATGTTGTAGTACAGTGGGAAAAGAAAAAACAGGCTCACTTAGGAGCAGTAAAGCAGCAGAGAACAGATGTAGCAGGACAGCAGCTGTTTCAAGCCAAGGATATGTCTGTGCGTAGGGGTATAGTGACATGTCCCTATATAGGGAGCAAGCAGATGGCATTGAAGAACACGCCACGTTGGTCCTACATTCCCTAGGGTCAGTAAAACTGCTTCTTCTTGGCAACTCAGCAATGGCTTTCTTTGTGCAGCTCTTCACACCCCAGCAGCTGTTCCTGAATGAGGCAGGGGAGGGGGAGCCAGGGGAAGGGAGAGCGCACTGCTGGGTCTAGGTGTCATGGGCAGCTTTCCCCCGGCACATCCCCCCATCCTCCCACCGTTCCCCTCTTGCCCTGGATGAAGCCTACTCTAGACAGCCCTGGGGTTTCCTTTCTAGCCCTTAGCTGTTGCCTCTCTGCCATCTGTTTTGCCCTCAAGCTGGGCTTTCTCTCCTCCTTTCTGTTTCATTTGCCACACCGCTGCCCTCCAGTTGCTTTCTCTGATCCACGTGCCTGGCTGCGCTGTCATCTCCACCCAGCTGCCAAGCATGCCAGCCTGACATGGGCTAATGTGGTGGAGGAAGCAGCTCAGAGGTGCCTTTTCTCTCTGTGCAGCTTGTGGTGGAAGGATAAATACCAAAGCAGGCAAGGCAAGCAGACACACTGCACTTAACTCAGTGTTGTCTGCCTTTACACTGGAATAAAAGTGGAGCAGATGCAGTGCATGCAGCACTGCACTGGTACAAGCCACTTGAATCCAGTGAACCGTGACCCTGAGAAAACCCTGCAGTTGCTATTTCCCGGTGTGCACACACTGTGTATCTGCAGCTGTGCTCCGTTTCAGCTGCCTGTTTTGGGGTAACTCTTTGCTCAAGCTATTACTTTGATCCCCGGCACCCAGTGGCAAGTGCTATAATAGCAGCCCTCAGTTAGCTGCTGCAGGATAAGCCAGTCGTCTGTCCACTCTGCATGCTAGGGTACAAAACCGATGTAAACTATACCGGGGTCAACCTGTAGTGTATGGGCACGGTCAAAATCCTCATGTCCATGCCACAACACTGGTTCTGCTCATCAGTGCCCTAGGCCACACTGTCAGCTGGTGCAGATCCCCGGCACCGCAGGGCCACTGGCTTTGGTGGAGCTTCATTGACTGGCACCAGCCGGGTACGTGTCTCTGAGCACAGCCCATAGGCATTGCAAGTTTAAAAGCAATAGCCCCTGATGCTATAACCATCCAGAGAATGTTTATAAAAAGTCTTTTATAACAAAATCCGCCGTGCACGCAGCTGAGAAAGCCTCGCTTTGTGCTGACGGGGTGAGCTCAGAGCACCGTTGTGCTGAGTGCCGCTACCCTGGTAGAGCTGCTTCTCCCCCTGCCAGCTTTAGCCTGACTGAGCCCCTGTGTGAGCAGGGTTTGAGCATCCTGACTTCAGGGATGATTTGAAAGGAGCACAGCTTCTTGCCCTTAAATCTGTGGGGCTATTGGTGCCCAATTCCAGTGTGGGCAATCACTGTTCACCAGGGCAAATTCCCTTACTGCTCTAATCGGGTGCGGTATTAACCCTTCCTTCCCTGCCGTTACAGCATGGTAGTTTGGATCACAACATCCCAGCCCAGAGGAAGCTGCCTCTCAGGGGCAAGCGATGTGATGTGAGCCCTGGCAGTCCCAAGGCCTGGGTTTTTGGCAGCATGGAGCACCTGAAATGCCTGTTAACTTTGGCTTCAGCCGGGGTGCCTTGTTGGACTGAGCCTTAAATGCAGCTAGCTGAATGTGCGAATGGCTGCGATTGACAAAAGGCATAAGGAAGGATTTGTTTAAAAGAAATACATAGACTAAAATCTCCAGTTTGACTCCTCTAACCCGGACTGAATTATTCTCTAGGGCGAAGCAGTGGCTGCCACTTTGAGGGTATGGGAATATCAAAAACCTAAATTTCTTTTGTGGGAAAATCAATTTGCTAGGGTAAATTAAGGGTAATTTCTTCTGAAGCTGAGCATGTCGGGGATGCTAGAGGTGGCGCTGAATGACAATGCCGAGGAGCAGGATAAACACAAAGAGGATGGGTGTCATTATGGCACTACACACCACAAGCAGGGAAGGATCGAAGGTAGAGGTGTGTAAAACCTCTCCAATCTTCAGTTAAACTTGTTTCAGAGGAGTAAGAAACAGCACAGCCAAGAAAGGCTCTTCAGAGACGTTTTGTCTTGTGGATAAAACTGGAAAAAGAATCCATTTCAGATGGCTGCCTGGTCTCACCCTCTTATGAAAAGCACATCATAAAAAAAGAGGGCCAGCCAAAATGACAAATTAACTCCAATAACGGAGCTGTCAAAGAGGGGAACCAAAGAGGTAATTTAAGTGTGCTCTGGGAAGAGGAGGATTACAAAGAGGCATAATTAAAATATGCAGAGCCCAAAAGGGAATACAGAATAGCGATCGCGTCACTTTGAATTAGTAATGCAAGAGAAAGAGGAGGAAGTGAAAAGGCAAATTCATGCTTTGAAATATTCAGCTGTTACGGGGAGGATTTGTTTTGGCGAAGCTGCCGAAAGCAAAAGTATCCTTCCAGGCACACGGGGATTAAATAAAAAGGATCTAGCAGAGAGACTTAGGTGTGTAAATACACAGTTAAAAGAGATGAACGAGCTTCGCTGGCTCTTTCTAGATGGACCCCTCCACTGCCCCCATGGCCGCGTCTCAGCAAGCGCTTTGCACCTTGCAGGTTGCGCTGCACCCAGGCACGGAGCCGCGGCCTCCCGTACCCATACGCGTTCCTGTTCCCGAGCTGCTGCCTTCGCTGGTTCCCGACAGCCTGGGCGTCCGTCTGGTCTTTCTTGTGGCGCTTGATAATGTCATCTGGATGCAAAAGACAAAGACCAAAAGAAATCAGGGGATGTGGCTGCTCCCACTAGCCTCCCTTTCCATTTCGAGGACTCACCGTTGCCGCTCATAGGCAAAGCTGTGAACTATGCTGGCCACGCAGCCAAAGATTACGGACAGCACAGATAACGTACCATCAGCTTAGAGACTGGAGATGAAATTAAGG